CCCGCAGTCCCAGCTACTTAGGAGGCTGAGGCAAGAGAATCACTTGAGCCCAAGAGTTTGAGGTTGCTGTGAGCTGTGATGCCACAGTACTCTACTGAGGGCAAGATAGTGAGACTGTCTCCAAAAAAAAAGAGAATTGCTTAAGCCAGTGGTTCTCAACCTTCCTAATGGCTCCTAATGCCACAACCCTTTAATACAGTTCCTCATGTTGTGGAGACTCCCAACCATAAAATTATTTTCGTTGCTACTTCATAACTGTAATTTTGCTACTGTTATGAATTTACTATTATGTAAATATCTGATATTGGGATACACCCAAGGACGTATTTTCATTGTTACAAAGGTACAAAGGAGTTGCTACCCACAGGTTGAGAACTGCTGGCTTTAGCCCAAGAATTTGAAGTTGCTATAAACTGTGACACACACAGCACTCTACCCAGGACAACAGCTTGAGACTCTGTCTTAAATAAATAAATAAATATAATAATAAACAACTTTCATGGCTCTGAAAAAAATGACCTGCTTCAGAAACAGGATGGTTTGAACACTATAGCTTTGAGTGCAGGCTGAGAGAGGAGGTGGCAGCTATGTATGCGCTGGGGTGGGGTGGATTGTTAGAGATATATGTGATGAAGCAAACACAGTGAAATGTAAATTGTAAAATCTGGGTGGCAGAATAAGCCGCATATAGCCTCACCCAGGGAAGGTGCCTTGCAAGAATAGGGCTGCTTATTCTCAAAACCCACCTTCCCCTTGAGCCGGCTCCAATAAAAGGTCTGGACCCAGGAGGAAACATCACGTAAACCAAGGTGCAGTGCTAAGAAGTCCACAGTGGTTGGCATCCCAGCCCTACGTTGCTGGTCATGGAGACTGGGAGTGGAAGTGACATGCCCAAGGTCACACAGGTAGAGCCTAGTCCCTTGGGCACCTCATCTCATGTTTTATCCACTCAGCTCCTCCTCCTCTTCTGCCTCATGACCCTGGGATTGACCTGGACTTGTCTTGCTACCAGGGCCCCTCACAAGTTGCTCCATCTTGATCCCTAAAATATATTTTCCTCCCACTTATCCCAAGTGCCTGGCATCATGCTATTACAGGACAACCAGCCACAAAACACAGGAAGAGGAAGTGGGAGTTGTATTACCCAGCACAGAGCAGGGCTGTGGAAATTGAACTCAGAAAGATTGAAATGTGAATGAAAACACTGGGGGTGTGAAGGCAGAGGCCTTGGATTAGCTGGGGTGCATCTGGCACTTGCAGAGTGACCTCAGACAAGTCCCTTGGACAGACATGCTGAGCCCCAGTTTCCTCAACTATAAAATGGGCGCCCATCAGCTGCAGCACAGCTGCTGTGGCAATGAAATGAACTCACGTACGTGCAGGTGCTTTGTAAGCTCTATTTTTAAGCATTGCTGGGCCCAGGCTGTGGTGAGTTCAAGGTTGCCAGGCTATCCCTTTGAGGGAAAAGAAACTCTTAAGGCCCTGGATATGGTTGGGGACCCACAGCCTAAGGCCAGCTTCATGGGTCCTTATGGCTGGCCTGGCCCCTGCTTCCCAACACCCACAGCAACATCCACATTCTATCAGTGTCTTCCCAGGAAAGCCAGGCCCCCTGCATCTTAGCCAAGTATCCGTGGAGTTGACACCCAGCTCTGAGAGGGTGCTGACCCCAGGCCGCAGCCACACATACTCCAGTAGGAAGAAGCAGTTGGTTTGCAAGGTGAGCCCTCGGCTTGGCTTCCCCCCAGGACAGTCTTTTATATCCTAAGAAATGTGGCCCACAGGGCAGATCTGTTGCTTCTTGCTGGGGTGGGATTGTGCGGGCAGCAGCCAGCCCCGAATATCCTGGCAATCCACCACCTCTGGCAATCCACCACCTGTATACCCTGGCCTGTTCGTCTAGAGGCAGACTTGTTCCCAGCAGGAGTGGAGTCAGCAAGGGTATCACGTGCTCTGCTCCCCCCTTGCCTCACTCTTCTGGCCCTCAGTCACATGGGTGAGGGTGGCAGGCACCATGCTGGGCCCAGCCCCCAACACTGCCCGGGCAGGCTGTCCTAAGGCCACCCTTTTCCTCAAGCAGGTGTGGCCCCAACCCATTCCCCTGTGAGCCCATTGGTGGCACCTGTCTGGTGTGCAGTTACTTCTGGTCCATGTTTAATTCATGGCTGGGGGGTTGGGAAATGCTTCCCAGGAAAGGGAAGAAGTCCCCTGGGGTCTTGCCCAAGTCCTGCCTGCCTGAAGGGCATGTAGTTGAGGTCCCAGCCTCCTCCCTGGGCCTGGGACTGGGAAGTAGAAGCCATCAGTGGACTCTGAAGATACTGTCCCAGCCAGGGTATTGCCATTGGTCGCTAATATGCAGCCCTGGAATGTCTCTGGGCCAATCATCAGGGTCTATGAGGGCTCCCCAACGGCGTTAATAATCCTGCAATGATTAGCAGGGGCCACGGGGTCAGTGGGCCGTGCTCGCCTGCTGTCAGTAGGGCGGGCTGTCCAGGTTGAGCCAGGCAGGCGGGCAGCCCTGGGAGCTGTCTGTCTCTTTTCATGCCAGCGCCGACGGGAGGCTATTTGGACACAGTGATTACTTACCAGCCTCCCTCTTTTGTCTGCCAGCCCAGCCTGACTCCTGAGACTGGATAGCTCCATCAGCCCGCAGAGTGAGCTAGACTGGACGGCTGAGCCAGACGGTATCCTGAGCACCCAACAAGCCCATGCCACGGCCAGATCCCTCCCCCAGGCCAGGGGCTCTCCTGCCTATGCTCCTGGCTCTCCTTGGTGTGGCTTGGGCAGAGGTATGGACGCCCCAGCCGCAAGAGCAGGCTTCAGTGCCCAGAGGTAAGGGACATCTGCATGACAGCAAGAACTCTGTGAATAGAGGGGTGCTGGGTGACTTCCGGAGGCCAAGCCTGGGCTTTGCTGTTGTAACTTAATGAGGAAGCCCAGGACAGTCCAGGGGCCCTGGTGGATGGAGGTTGGGGCTGGAGAGGAGGAAGGCGGAAGAGGTGGGCCCAGGGCTAGGGTCAAGGGGGAAAACTGACCAGAGCCTGCAGGTGGGCCCACAAGAGCCTCAGTGGCTGAGAGAGCTCCAGGCAAGGGCTGCTACTGGGCTTCAGTCCCCTGCATCTCTATGCCTGTGCCCTCCCTGCACCTACCACCGTCCTCTTCCAGCTTAGGTCTGGTTTCCTAAGGGGGCTGCACTCTCATCACCCTGACCTTCTCTCCCACCCCAGCCCTGAGTAGGAGGGAGAGTTTCCTGCTCCTCTCCCTGCACAATCGCCTGCGCAGCATGGTCCAGCCCCCTGCGGCCAACATGCAGAGAATGGTGAGTACCCAGCCTGGGGACAGACCCCAGAGGAGGGTTTGGGCACAGCCAGCCACCTTGCCCACTGGAGGGACCATGGTCCTAGTTCTTGGGGCTTTGTGGCTCCTTAGTGCTGGAGGTCAGGCCACAGGTTCACACTGGCCTGACGGGCAGGCCTTGAGGCTCTCCTGGCATCCTGTTGCCACAGAGACCAGGGCACATGGAACAGCCAGATCCCGTTCCTAAGGATCCTGTATTTTCCTTACTCCAGGAAAATAAGTCTCACAGGATGGGGGGCAAGGCCAGGGGAGACCTTCCTGGGCATATCTGGGCCACTAGGCGGGGCTTGTCCCACCTCCCTGCTCATTCACTGTACACATTTCACAGCAGGAGCAGGTGGGACGTGAGGTTTCCCACCACCCCTCTGGGGCCTTGGAAATGCTGCCCCACTTAGCCTGAGACCCAGCCCACATTCACAGGCCAGGAAGCAAGGGCAGGCCCGGTGGGGGTGGGCAGAGTTCCCCATGGCTGCCTCCCATGAACTCCTCCTAGGCTGGCTGCCACAGTGGTGTGACCTTGAGAGCTCTGGGGTCGGTTTCCCAGGAGGTGGGGGTGGAGCGGACAGGTGGGGGTAGTGGTGGAGATGTCAGCGTCTCCTCCTTTCCTGGCCCTAAGTGGCTCTGTCAGACCTCAGGCCTAGCCCCTGGGTAGCCAGGGCTGTTCCCAGCTGTAACACCCAGTGGTGGGTGCTTCTGCCTGGGCCACTGCGGGTGCAGTGATCAGCAGGCTGGCATTTGACATACTTTCAGGGTTTTTTGTGGAAGTCCTAGAAAACCACATTTCAGTAAAAGGTACAGTGGAGCCCCACCACTCAGCCCCCTACTCTGCCCTGGGCTCCCTGATGGGCCTCTAGGGCTCTAGGGCGCCCTTTCTTTTTTTTTTTTTTTTTTTTGAAACAAAGCCTCAAGCTGTCCCCCTGAGTAGAGTGCCATGGCATCACGCTCACAGCAACCTCCAACTCCTGGGCTCAAGAGAGTCTCCTGCCTCCGCCTCCCAAGCAGCTGGGACCACAGGCGCCCGCCACAACGCCCGGCTATTTTTTGGTTGCAGCCGTCATTGTTGTTTTGGCGGGTCCGGGCTAGGGATTCGAACCCGCCACCTTAGGTGTATGTGGCTGGCGCCTTAGCCGGTTGAGCCATAGGCGCCGAGCCAAGGGCGCCCTTTCTTTATACACACTGGAGAACTGCCCCTAGGGAAGGCCAGGCTTTCTGGGGCAGCCCTGAGGGGCACCTTGTTCTCTGCACCCATTTAGTCCTCACAGCAGTGCTGTCCTGTATTGTACCCATTTTAGAGATGAGCATACAAATATCGTGGAGATTAGGTGACCATTGGGGGTCATGGCCAGACCAAGGGGTGAGGTTGGGGGAGCAGCTCTGCTTACTCTGGCTGGAGCTCAGAGGCCAGAAAAGCCCTCACACTCTTCTACACTGTGCCCCTACGCACTACACGGTAGGGGTGAGAGTCAGGACTGAGAAAGCAGAGAGAAAGACATGGCCACCACAGAGAGGGGGACAGCTAAGCCAGGTAGGAGCCCCTGAGCCTTTCTGACAGTGGCCAGAACACAGAGCCAGTCTGGAAGGCTTGGCTGCCACTCTTATTACTGGACAGGAAACAGACAGTGGATGCCTATCCCATTGCCTGGGCAGAGCCTAAGGGTGCCCACACCACAACTTAGGGGGATGAAGGCTCCCTGACACCTGATCCCACTGAACTCAGGGTCAGGGTCAGATGTTAGGCACCCCTATGCTTTCCCAGCACACCAGGGAGAGCTCTAGGGGGTCCTGCCTGACCTTTCCTGGCCCTGGCTCGGTGATGAGGATCAGCTCAGGGTGTCAAGTAGAAAGACTCGTCCTCCAGTGCTCTCTTCTCCACATGACCTGGCACCTCCTGGGTCTCGGAGATGGTGTGGGAGTTGAATCGTTGAGGCCTGGACCAGTGGTCTACTCCTTTACCCAGAGGCCTCCAGCTGATGCCTCTTCTGTTTGTGCCGCCCCTAGGACTGGAGTGAGAGCTTAGCCCAACGGGCTCAAGCGAGGGCAGCTCTCTGTGGCACCCCAGCCCCGAGCCTGGCGTCTACCCCACAGGTGGGCTGGAACGAGCAACTGTGGCCCGCAGGTTTGGTGTCCTTTGTTGAAGTGGTCAGCCTGTGGTTTGCAGAGAGGCAGCAGTACAGCCACGCAGAGGCCGAGTGTGCCCACAATGCCACCTGCACCCACTATACTCAGGTGAGTGTACTGCAGGGGAGGCCAAGGTACAGGCTCCCTGAGGCCAGCCTGGTCATCTCAAAAGAGGCTACAGTGTGTCCTGAATTTGGGGATTCTTTTTCCTCCAATTTGTTTAGTTTTATTTTTTTCAACCTTAAATGTGAGTAATTTCAAACATAAATTTACTGGCTCCATGCTGGTAACTCAGTGGTTAGGGCATCAGACACATACACCTGGGCTGGCGGGTTCGAACCTGGCCCGGGCCTGCTAAACAATGACAACTACAACAAAAAGATAGCCACGTGTTGTGGCAGACACCTGTAGTCCTAGCTACTTGGGAGGCTAGGGCAAGAATATGAGGTTGCTGTGAGCTATGATGACACCATGGCACTCCCTCCCAGGGCAACAAAGTGAGACTCTGTCTCCAAAAAGAAAAAGTTGGGCAGCACCTGTGGCTCAGTGGGTAGGGCACGAGCCACATAT